CCCCCTTCTTTGTTTCAGACAATGCCAGCCTAACAAAAGGAAAGGAGAGGAAGCAGCAGCAGCATCCAAGCACAATCTCAAGCTTTCCCTGCCAACTATGATATATAATAGTAGAAAGTTTCCATAAGCAGTCTCTGAATTTATGCCTAAAAGTAGACGGTATCTTTAACTTTGCATACTTCTTATTCAAGGAATCATGATTTTTTATTTATTTTTTTGTAATTTGTAAATTGATCAGGCTAACAACAAACAGCTAGGGTTACAACTCGTATATATATATATATATATTGGAAAAGGGTGAAGCGTATCCAACATAAAAAAACTCAATCTGCCTTTAATTTTTTGATTCAGTCCCATAATACAGTAGAAAGAGAAGGGAAAACTGCCGCAGCATCACAATCACATATGTATATATTCCCAACAGAACAGGTTGCTCTTTTACCTTTTTCCTCTTCATCCTCTTTTTTCAGGACCTTCCCTTGCTTGCAAAATTTAACTACCCCAATGCCTCCTTTCTCAAGTTTTCTGATATTCTTCCTTCTCTCTACGACCCAAGGAAGCTTTGATTCTTCGAGTTTTATTTATATAACTTGTGCCTCCATGATATTTAAGCTCTTCTTCTTTGTAACAAATTCATTGCTCCTGGCTTGGTTTGCATCTCATTCTTCTAAACAAATAAGAAGAATTCCAAAACCACACTACAGTAGCCGCAGCAGCTTCTTGACAGTATGGCTTCTGGAGGAGCTGTTCAATGTTTCACAATCTTCCTCTTGTATCTATTCCTCTATCCAGGTGATTGGCATTTCCTTCTTTCGATTTCCAGCATTGCACTCTCGTTTTCTTCATAGCAATATTATGTGCTCGTGTTTATATAACCATGCATGAATGTATGTGCCTTCATGTGTCTCACAAAATGGAGGATCCTATAACAAGATTGTTTAAACATTTCTCCTCTGTTAGATGGTAGCGCTTTTGTTTAAACAATGAACAAAAATAGAAATCTATATAGAAATTCGTTGCTTGTGATCATGCTGTAAACTACATCTTAGTGCATAAATTCTTGTGCCTTTTCTGATTGCATGAAACCCAATTCTCAGTAAGAATCCGTAAGCATTTGATTTTGAAACTCACTCCTTTTCCGTTTTCTCTGAGGAAGTGCTGAACTCGTGCTTTTCTGATTGATGAAACCCATTTTCTCAGGTTTCTGCTTTTAGCAAATCAGGGAGTTGGTCAAAATTTCTGGGTTTAGGATGAATGCTATAAAACTTCATTTTCATCCATTAACATGGAACAAGATGAAAATAACTTGTCCTGCTCAACATAAAGAAAAGATAGAAATCTGATCCTGCCTTTTGATTTGTTCAGGCCATCCAAGTGTTGCTGAAATGCCGATTTTGGAACCAATCCAAAAATATAAAATAGTAGGCGATGAAAACAGGATGCTCATCTCATATTCAGAGACTGCCATCCAACTAGATGCAGTTACAGGAGGGGTTCCCATTATCAATCCAACAAATCCTGGTTCTGGAACAACTCCTGTAGTAAATCCAGTAGACTCTCCTCCAGCACCAATTGGAATCAACCCGATACCTACAACACCCCCGGCTGGTATGGTGCCCCCAGCCGCCCCAATTGGAATCAACCCAATACCTACAACCCCCCCGGCTGGTATGGTGCCCCCAGCCACTATGAATCCCCCGGCCACAATGAACCCCCCTGCTACCACAAATCCCCCAGCTTCCACAAATCCGACCTCATCAGGAGGAGAATGGTGTATTGCTAGCCCAACTGCTTCACAAACTGCCTTGCAGGTAGCTCTTGATTATGCTTGTGGCTATGGTGGTACAGACTGTTCTGCACTTCAACCGGGTGGAAGTTGTTATAATCCAAACACCATCCGTGATCATGCTTCTTATGCCTTCAATAGCTACTACCAGAAAAATCCAGTTCCCACAAGCTGCGTTTTTGGCGGAACAGCACAGCTTACCACCACTGATCCAAGTAAGATGACAGAATATCATTTTGCATGCTGCAGATGTTTTGAAATCTGATCTGTTTACAATTATTGCTGTCCATAACCTAAATTCACTGCTTGTTAGGTCTCTTCTCTTGAAAAAAAAAATGTTTTTGTGTTTAGGAAACCCTGTTTCCCCTTCCAAAATTATTTTTCACAGTAATGTCTTATGGCTTAAGGTCTAACTCATCTTTCAGCCACGAATCCCCTAAATTTTTATCTACTATTAGTTTCCCTGCTTTAGTTCATTGGCCATTCAGAATCCTTAATCCATGGCTGTTGCTGAATGATTGAGCTTGAATCCACATAATTTGCTTCCTATGAGATTCCTTAACTTCTCTGTTTGCACCGCACCTATTGCAGGCAGTGGAAACTGTCACTATGCATCATCGCCCACGACAACACCCAGGTAAGCTTTCATATCCATTTTAAAACCATTCCTATCACCAAAATTATGCAATAGAAAACTCACTTCATGTTTTTGGAAAATGCAGCATAAGTCCACCAGTCAACCCAGCACCAACTCCTCCAACCCCAACAATGATGACTCCCACAATAACCTCACCTGGTGGACCACCAACAGTTTATGGCGTGCCGGAACCAGTCGGCCAGCCCAGCTCAGCCACCTCTGTTTCGTGCACTTTAGTTTTCCTCTTCTCTACAACTGGTATCGTGGGATCACTTCTTGCAACAAAACATCTCTAAGGGCATGGAAATTCAGTCTATCGCTACCCTCGACGAGATGACAACTTTCCTTGATTGCCACCAAACTCCCATAAAAACTTCCATGAATTTCAAACACAAGCAGTGAGAATCAACAACCACATATTTTCTCGAGGATTTGTCCTCGCCATAAAATGTTACAATCTATTTTCCCTACTATGCTTTTTGGTTGGTAAGAAGCTAGAAGAAAATGAAGAACGTAGAATGTCTCTGTCTTAGGTTCTTGTGCTCGTAGACAAGTTAACTAGTTATATTCTCTCAAATTTTTAGCATTCAAAAGCATCGGACAAGCTTGTGTTGCTTTAGGATTGCTTTTACAGCCTGTGTGCTCGAAGTATACGATTTAATATACGAATTAGCAGTTAGTACCAGACAGAATCATCACCCACACAGAGTAGACGACAATAAACAATTGGGACTGGTAAGACTACAACAATGCTCGTGGTGATTATCTGACGAATTTATTTCATCCAGTAAGAGAGGGATTTATGTTATTCCCCGCGTAGCAAATGAACATGCTTCAACACACGCCACCAAGCTGGCCACAGACAGTGAACCTCATAAATTGTGTCACCTGATAATAATCTTAGTCCAGAAGAGGATAAAAGTATTACAGACAACTAAAACACAGAAATAATTTTTCACCAAAGATTATTCCTTTGCTTCCTATCATAAACTCAACCTATGTTCATTTGTCCTAAATCATAAGATAGTTCAGTAGATCTTGGAAGGCTTGAAAGTAATTTGATCAGACATTGAAAGCATTTTGCCATATTGTTCATATTCTCCTAACTCGTTTAGCGTTGAACCATACAAATCTTATTGCCATTTAAATAACAGATTAGATGAGCTTCTTACTTTGCAACAAATAGCAACTTAAGTGAAAACAGAAGGCCTACTTTACATTGCTTATACTGAATCCTTAATGAGTAAAGATGTACAACATAGTTGCACCGTATTTTAGCGATCCTCAAATCATACTGATACCCATATCAATCCCTTTTGCCATCATATCCTCTCAACATAGTTGAGATCCCTTTGTTTTTAATTTAAATTGCACTCTGGCACAGAATGAAAAGGAAAGCTTGGCTATCACACCAGTACTACTTATCAGGAACAGCTGCGTTTAGAAGAGCATCGCGAGAAAAGCAATTAGATCGGGACTCTCTAAAATAGATACAAATACATGTAACATTTAGAGACGGTAATTCCACGCTAAGTATTATTAAATAATTTATCATTGATTCAAATTCTTACACATTTTATTCTCCGCCAAAGAACCCACAACTATAGCTAACATGGTAACATAAGATGACACCAGGTGATTGTTTGTTTATTCTTGTCACCTTCCACATGGCTTTGGTAATTTACCTAAAACTCAGATCAAGAGCAAGCAAGATGTGACAACAACACACGCAACAGCTATGGTGGCAACAACTGAACCTTGCTCAAACGCTCTCTGTAAATTCCCTATCCGTGAAAAATGCTGGAAAGCCAAATAGGCTGCAATCACCAGGCCAACAATAGCACCTTCTTGCTTTCCCCTGGAAACACAACATTGCAAGGCATATTAAGTTAAAAAAAAAAAAATGAAATAGACATGATTTTCTCTCTTGATAAACACATCCATCTTACCTTATGTTCATAACTTGACAAGGAGCCACAATTACCAAGAGCAACGCCATAAACGGCAGCTCAAGTTCACCTATGGAAAAAAGAAGACCCAAGATTGAAACTTTTAAGAATTCCTTACCCGTGGTTAAAATATATCAAAACCAACTATATAACATGCGGTGATCCTCCTTAAAATTATAACATGGGATTCTATAGAAGTTAAATTGGGGAAGAGAATTAACCGGGAATAAAGAAAAAGAGACGGAAGAGAAGGGCAAGAAATGCAGTCCAAATGCCATATTCACCCCTGCAAATTTTGAAACACCAAACTTGTAGCATAAATCCTCCACCAACCCACAATACAAATCACTCACTGAATTTAATTAATATAAAAAAGTAACATTTTCTTACAGAATAATTATCATTAACACAGTTCATAATCATATCGATGATAGCATAAAATAAAATGAAGTACTTGATCCATGAAATGACGGCTGGCGGTGCTTGGAGAGCAAATAAAGGAACAAGAAAGGACTTTTGGACAGCAGTGCCTTTTGCCAGCACCAAAACCCTGTAAATAATTTAATCCAATTAAAAAGGAAAGAAGAAGGAAGCTCAAACAACAAGAGAGAGAGAGAGAGAGAGAGAGAGAGAGAGAGAGAGAGAGAGAGAGAGAGAGAGAGAGAGAGAGAGAGAGAGAGAGAGAGAGAGAGAGAGAGAGAGAGAGAGAGAGAGAGAGAGAGAGAGAGAGAGAGAGAGAGAGAGAGAGAGTGATTAATGAATATAGAGAGGTACACAGAAGAGAGAGCGGAAATCCAGTGGAGACTAGGAGTAGTGAGGGATCCAGCATGACAAACAGCACCAAACCCTCTTCCCGATTCCTTCCTCTTTACCTTCATCACCATTTCATTGCTCTTTATCGATAATCTGTACATATTGTATAACCACAATTAGAAAATGAAACAAGCAAAAAAAAAAATAACAGTAATGGTGAGTAGTGAGAAGAGACCTACCTAAGAGGATTGAAGGTGGTGAAAGAGCTCGAGAGTAGTGTGACTGTAGGAGACCTAAGAGGGTTTTGTATAGAAAGAAACTGCTTCTTCTTGCTGCTGCTGCTGCTGCTGCTGTCGGCGAGAAAGAAAGACTGTGCAGGTGGCGGTGATATAGATACCAGCATACTCATCTTTCTCTCCCTCCCTGTATTTTCTTGTGAGGAGTGAGGACTCGCTCCTCTCCCTATAAATAAGCAGTGAGCCAACCAGCCAATAGAACAAATTTGAAAATGTATTTTTTAAAAGCTTTTTTATTTTAGTTATTTATTTTTGTGTTTTTTTTTCATATATATATATATATATAGCTTTTTAGTTTTTCTATTATTTTGATACATTAATATTAAAAATAAAAAATATTAGTTTAATATATTTTTAAATAAAAAAATTATAACAATAACACACAAGATATTTGTCGTGGGGGTATTAGGCTAATAGCAATGCAACAAGTGTGCGGTGACTGATTGATATACACAAATTACCGCTTTCATTACTGCTTTGCCCTTAATCATCCCTCTACTTCTACTAATCTATTTTTAATTCTAGACATAGCTAAGTATATAGCTATTTTTATCAATTAATAACTCATATTAAAAATATTTAAGACTTCTATAAAATGGTATTATTTCTTAAAAATAAAATATAATTTGGATAAAAAATCTGAAAAATAAATGAAAGTTGTTATTGAGTATTTTTTTTTTAAATCATGAGTAAAATCATATGATGATAAATTTAAAACTATTTATAGTTTGAGGATATTTTTAAAATTTTTCTTTTTAAATTTCTTAATTTTATTTTTCTAATATCATTGTTGCCTCTAACTATTAAAAATTCTAGTTTGTGAATTTTAATATTTAGATTTTTCTTTTTTAAGTGTCTTTTTATGAGATATTATAGCATGTATGGGGATTTGAGACTTGAAAGGAAAAAATAAGAATGGGAGAAAAGTGAGAAACATAATTAAGAAAAAATTTTTTGTTAGGTAAATTATCACAACTATATCAAGGTGTTATGAAATTATACAAAACTATTCAAGATTATGAAGATTTGACATAAATCACCTTAATGTTTACAAAAATATTATAAAAACTCTATTTCTTGTTCAAAATGCACTTAATTGTGATTATAAGAAGATATTAATGTTTTTTTTAAAAAAAAAACAGAATTAGAGAAAGAATATAAAGAAATGGACATGATTATGTTTAATACATGAATGATATTATTTTAGTATTCTTTCTTTAATTCTTAAAATTTTCTCGTTCTATTATCTTTTAAATAGTAATTAAGGACTATTTTATATATATATATAAGGGAATTTCTGTAAAATATTCACACTTTTACATGGTGTGAGGGTACTTTAATCCATGTATGTCTATATAAAAAAACAACTAAAATGAAAGGCAAAATGCATGTTGCTATAGATATATTTTTTTATTTACTACTAGTCTCTAAAAATATATCTAAAACTGAGGATATCTTTATTTTTTCTATACGATTTATTAATCATTTAATGATTGTATAAGGATATATATGTTTTTCCTATAATTTTTTAAATAGTTAAGTGATTTAATTATCTCTAATTTTAGAAAAATTAAAATTGTTGATTGATTTTTTTATTTTTTTCCTTAACCCTTTTGTAAAACTTTTATTTATTTTTAATTTAATCCTTAATTCTAATTTATCTTATATAATGTTTTTCAATTTGTTCTTTTTGCTCTTAATTCCTGATTCTTTCATTGTCCCTTTTATATAAATTTTATCGATTTTCAATCTTATCATTCAATTAAAATTCATCGTATATTATTTTTTACAACTTAGTCCTAATTATTTTTATTTTTTTATCATTTTGTTAAGCTTATTATTCTTTTCAATTTAACCCTAAATTGAAAATTTTTTCTCTATTTTATTTTTTATTTTAATTTTAACTCTTATTCTTTTAATTGCTATTTTTTTTAATTTTGCTTCTTATTATTTGATTTTTCTTTTACTAATGTCATTTCACTTTTCATTTCTTGGGGATTGGGTTTCAATGTTTTTCCATGCAAGGTATTTTTGATCTGATAACCTGGGTCACAGGTTTGAAAAGTTAACAGAGTTGATATTTTTTTATTTTCTTCTCTAATTTTTTTGTTTAACATTTCTTTTAATTGGCATTGTGATTTTCTTCAATTTCTTTTTTTTTATTGGGTTATCCTGATGTCATGAACTATGATACAAGTTTGATAGATTAGTCTAGACTAGTTTGCCTCTTAATTCCTAAATTATATGTTTATCATGCTAGCTCGGATTAACTTGTACTAATCTTTTATTTTTTATTTGTTTTAACTTTATTTTGACCTTTTATATTTAATTAGCTAAAATTAAACAACATTGTTTTTCGCTTTTGGATAAAGTTTTTTTTTTATTATTATTGCAGTTTTTTTTTGTATTTTTTATTTGCTTGCTATCTTTCTTTTTTTCGTTATATTATTCAAATAAGACTAGCTTACCTAGTTGGTTGGTATTATAACACGGGTAATTGGATTTTTGTTATCTTTTTTTTAAACAAGCCTATATAGTTTATATAAAAAAATATATATACCTCCATGTGAGATGGGTTCAGTGTTCTATGTATCATCGGGATCTTGCTAATTGCTTTGGGACAACGCAATGAATGAGCGAGGTGAGTTAGTAATCCAAAATAATGATAATAAAATGCAATCTTGGAATTTTATTATTAAATTTCCTTTTGTTTATACATATACCAAGTGTCCGGCGTTGGTTATATATATAAAATCCATCTACTTAAATCCAATTATGGTTTGAAACTGCTTTTTATTTCATATTCCAATTTTTCCATCTATTTAAAATGCAATCCACCTTGCTGCCATTGAATTGGTTTGTTCATCAAATTAATCTAAAAAAGATTTGAAGTGCGAGGAGCCCGAGATTTTCTCAATCGCGAGGCTGCTAAGATCGTTGGTGAATAATTCGTTGAAAACAACTGGATCGATCGTGAAATAAACTATAATTAATACCCTTGTTCTCAGTTAATGTAACATGCCAAATTAAGCAATCGATGAAGATGAGAGAAATGGCCATGAAACGTGCGTGCCACTCTACATGTAGCAAAGACTAGAGAGCTTGGTTATATAACGTAGAAACGCTAGGAAAGAGGGTTTTATTGCTGCTGCTACAAGCACACGCACCACTTACAGCCAATCTCAAAGTCTAATCAAGGAAGCAAATTAATTTTGCTTTGGAACAACCTTAGCAGGCATTACAGATGGTGCTGGTGGCGACGGAGTAGTGGGATCGGCAGCTTTGTCGCAGTATCCCTCAAGAATTTGTCCCTCTTCTGCTGTAAACCCGAGTGTGTCAATCATGTTAGGCCAGCAATGTTCACCGATGGTCCTCAAGGCCTGGCAACAGCTACGACCAAGCTGAGCCTCACCGTTCAGGAAGAAAAGAATAATCTCCCCAGAACATGCTTGTAGTTGCACCAAAGAGCCCCAGCAATTCTGCGAGTGTCCGTCTAGTTTTAAGCGAGCCATAAGGTTTGAGGCTGAGGCCGATGGTAGTGCCCTGGCCTTGTAGCAGTCCAAGCTGCTGCATGCCAAGAAAGCAAAGAAAAGAGAGAGCTTAAGGTTAAAAGCCATTAATTCGTGCGTAATAGTACTGTAGCTAGAGAGCAGTATTTGGTCAGGTAACGTGTGATTGAGATTGTTGTAGATCGCTGAGTGATTTATACAGGGATCGATCGATGAACATGGCGTCCAGTTAATTTGAACGTTAAATTACTTGAAAGTGAGGAGGCTGGAAATTAATGAGAGACCGTGCATGGGGGAGGAAACGGAAAGACCAAAAGACAGTAACCATCCATGAAGTTTATATCTATTTATGGCAACTAAATCGATTATTCAGTAACTGACCATAATTAATTTAAAAAACAAAAATAAATCAGCAAGCTAGCTAGCTAGCTATGAAAGGATAAACATTGTCTAATGAATCGTCTGCTTAACGAGTGTTTTCTCTGTCCTTTTCTGTTGGTTTGTGCTTAGCGTTCTGCTAGTTTCGATATAACATGCCCTCGTTCATCAGGATTCGTTAACATTTAAATTTTTTTATTCAAAATTATTTTTTATGATTTTGTATCATTTTAGTAAGATGATATCAAAACTATAATTAGGCTTTGAATGTTGATTAAGCCTGTTCTCGTAGCAAAAAACTACTAAATGTGTGTTTGGCTCCCATGCTTTTTCTTCCTCTTCTTTCTTTCTTTCTTTCCAGGAAAAACAAAAGCTGATTGCATGACTGCCCGATCTATTTTTTTAAAATCACAATTAAAAATATATTTTTTGCAAACATGTTTTTTTAATCATAATTATAAAAACTATCATAATATCAAATACATTTTAGATGATATAAGGCTATAAGCTACTTTTATTTTTATAATATTTAATAGATATTTTTGATATATTTCTAATACATAAATTTTAATATTACTTATCAAGTTACAATATTTTATTTTTAGAAATTGACTAATTTTGTATACAGCTTGATAAATTTATAGTTAAAAATTATCTTGTTGATTTATTATTGCATTAAAACTAAATAAAAAAACCTATAAGAAACAACTACATATACAATTTAATCATTTGAAATAATTTTATTAGTATTCATTTTTATTGTCTTGCTTTTAAATAATTTTAGAGTTTTGTTAGTTAAAATCAAATATCAATATATTGTTAAATACAATATTAGTAATAAAAACACTAATAAAACTACTTATACTATTAGAAATGAATACCAATAAAATTACTTAAGCTAGTACTATGCTAAAATACAAGATAAACATCCTTATCTATACTAGTCAGGTTTATCTTGAAAAAAAAAAGGAATGTCAATAAATAATTATAGATTTATTGTAGAATTCACAAACTAAATAGAAAAAAAAATGTTACTGCTCTCATATTTTCATAAACTAAATAGGGAAAAAATCACCATAAAAGAAAAAAAAATCTAAACAAAATAAGAATAAAAATAAATAACTTAGAAAACAAATAATTTCTACTAATAATTCTCCTTCATTAATCTTCTTGAGTTAAAGAGAACTCATCCTCGTGCTCAAATTGCTATTGTAATTATGTTGAAGACCATATACAACATATTCAAGCCATGTTTGTTTCCTGGAAAATAGTTTTTGGGAAATCACTTTTTAAACTTTTCTGTGTTTGTTTGTTATTAGAAAAGTTGGTCAACAGAAAACACTTTCCAGTCAACAGAAAACACTTTCTGATCAACAAAAAATATTTTTCAGTCAAAGAAAAATTTGACTTAGTTTTCAGGAAAGTATTTTCTTTTTTAGCTGTGTTTGTTTTCGGAAAGTGGTTTCTAGGAAAACACTTTCCAAACTTTCTTATGTTTGTTTGCTGTTAGGAAAGTTGGTAAACGGAAAACACTTTTTAGTCAAAGGAAAATTTGGCTTCATTTTCAGGAAAGTGTTTTCCTGAAAAATTTGGGAGGAAAACACTTTCCGGAAGTTGTGAAAAATTTAGAAATGTCATTATTTGCTGATTATATCAAATTTGATCCTCAAACTTTTGATTGTTATATATATTTTGTTTTGAATATTTATTTTTCAATTTTATTTCTTAAAATTTAATTTTTATATTGACTTTGGTTCTCATTTTTATAATTATTATTTGCTTTTCTCCTATTTTTTTTTATTGAATTTTTTTTTCTATCAAATTTAGTCCTCATTCTTTTGATTGTTATTTATTTTATTTGAAATATTTTATGAAATGTTAATTATTATTATTTTAATTTCTTCATCCTTTTTTTTTAGATTTGATCTTTATTGTTTTGATTATTATTTATTTTATTTGAGATAATTTATGAAATTATTTTTTTTTCAATTTCATTATTATTCAACTTTTTAATTTGTAAGATTTATTCCTTATTATTTTAATAAACTTGAGAAAAATAAAATATTAATAAATTATTTTCCAGTTCATTTTCCATAACATAACCAAATACTAGAAAGTGTTTTCCAGTTCATTTTCCATAATACTACCAAACATCGAAAAATACTTTACTTTTCAGAAATTCATTTTTTCTAGAATTCACTTTTCCCGGAATTCATTTTTCAAAAGGAAATAACTTTTCTATAAACAAACAAAGCCTTAGAGTATGTTTGTTTATGTGACTGCGGCTGCATTTTAATTAAACCATAAATTTTAGTTGTTTGGTAAACATTAAAACGAGATTTTTTGTTTATGGATCCCACATTACTTTTGCTTTCCAAACACAGGGAAATAAAAGCAAGAAATTCTTACTTTTCACGCACTGTTTATGTTAATTGCAGTATTCACTAAACAGTACAATTAGCATGAACAATATACATTAATACACTGTTAATGTGAACAGTGTAAGAGAATTGCATTGTTCACTTAAAAACAATGAACAGTGCAATTTATTCGCACTGTTCACTTAATGAATAGTGCAATTCGCTTGCATTGTTCGCGTGAACAGTTTTAGTTTTTTTTTAGTATGTTAATTTTTTTAATAGTTCTTTTTGAAAAAATTTAGTTTAGAGTGAATTAAATCCACTCACACCGTAATGTGAACAATATTTTTTTCCCCCAAAAAGCTAGTATAGAGTGAATTAAATTCACTTGCACTGTAATATCAATTTTATACATGATAATATTTTATTTAATTTTATTACACGCTCACAAAATTATGAAAACTGTAGTTTTTATTGGATGAATTTTGTATGTAATGGAATTGTAAATCGTTTAATGGAATAATAAAAAATATTTTATATAAAGTATTATTTATTTCATGATGTAATAGGAATAGTTAAATCTATAATATTTAAATTAAAAACCATCAATATTAATATATATTTTTAAATTATTTTATAATCTCAATTTCAAAAGCATTCTTAACCGAACACATTAAACTATTTTTTGTTTAACCTCAATTTCAACCACATTTTTAATCAAATATCTATTTTTTCAAATCAACCTCAACTAAAAATACTTTTTATAAAATAATTTTTTTAAAACTACAATCACAATAGCTGTCATAATACCAAACACACTCATAATTATATTAAAAACCATTTACAACAATTCTTGCAACCTTCTCAAATAATAACTCGATCAAAGCCATAGTATTATAAGGACTAGAAAAATCTCTCCTATCTATCTTTTATATCACCATTAATAAAAATATGTACTGGTTTCTTTAGGGGGTTTTTTGACATTTATTTCATAACTTTTATTTAAAGACTATAAGAATCAACTTTGATTCTATCGATTCCAAAATTCTCATATGAATTACATCTTACACGTTATATTTCATCAAAAATCACCTCTGGAACCATACTTAATTATGTTCCCTTTTTTTTTGGAAGTTTCACTATTAAAATATGAATTCATCTTAATTAACATAACATAAACATCTTTTGCATTCTTAGAATCATCACAAATCAATATTTCTGCATCAAAATCTTCTCTTTTAACAATACTATTTTCATTATCATAAAATTTTAGTGATGGATTTTAATACATAAAAGAACTAGAATCATAAAAAATTTTAACTTCAATGTCATGTTTATCTCGATCAAGAAGATGTTTTATTTGAGTATGGCTCTAAAAATAACTCTTAAAACTACTCAAGGATTCATGATCACTCACATTATGATTTTCTGATTTTCTCTTCTTCATCTTTATTAGTCTCGACATGTTAATTCTTCAACTTGCATTTGTAATTTTATTATTTATAATTAATAGGTCAATTATGTAATTTGCTTTTTCATGTCTTCTATTTATCACTCTCCTCCTCATCCCCTCCTATATGAGCATGTTATATTCTATGACCATCTCTTCCGACCATGATTATTTAATAGCATACAATAACTAACTATTAAAAATTGTTAGACTCTAATATCAATTGACACCAATAAGAGCAAATAACAATAAGGTTTGTTATAAATTGAAGCCTTAAAAGACCAATAATACCATAACTATGGGAAGATTTCTCAAAAATACTTATTTATTCATCCAAAGGGCCAAAATTTTGTTTAATGGGATAAATCCTTTGTTTCGATAAAAAATATGCATACAAAATATAAATTTATATATGTTGGATGCCCAAAAGAAAACCTTACAGAGTGCAAATTACCTTTGTTTGATGGTTGGAAGAGTTTTCATATAAAGAAAACTGTCCGAGGATTAAAAACCATATATATCCTCATTGATGCTATGAAATGTTGGGTTGTGACAGTTAATTTGATTGCTTATAGAGACATTGTAATGTTTTAGCTTTCACACGTCTGTGATTTCAGCCACTGGCACGGCATTCATATTTCAACTTTGGGATATATCTTTCACAATGATCCCGTCATGGCGTTTATAATACCAGTTTGTTCCAGGGACAAATCATGAGCGGCTTTTTTTTTTTTTAATGTTCTTATTAGTTAAAGATCTTGTGGGCTGCATGTATTATTATAGCAGCAGCTGCCCTGGGGTTCTCACAAACTTCGGCAGAATACAGGCGATACAACTAGCTGCCTTCCTCATGAAGACTTCTACATTATGGACCCAAAAAAATATGCTCGTCTGGGGCTGGGATGTATACGCGCAGTCAGTCTCACTTGCCTCCTTTCCAGTTTTCAGCGAGGCTTTCGTTCAATTTTCATTTTTTTCCCTTCAAAACTAAGGCTAGCTTGACCTTCCGACGCTAGTTCTTATTGTTAGTGATGATGGTATTTGCATGTGTCAAATGCCAAGATACATGGCAGCTGCTAGTGCAACTGTTACTAGCACTGCAAAGCGCAAGACGTTTTTCCATTTTGGAACAAGCATGAAGGATTTGCTGGCTGCACAACCCTCCATTTCTCCAGGAAAAACTAGAGCTAAAAAAATACAAGTTTTATTCAACAATCTGTAGGCACAATGATTTGGCATATGCATTTCACTCTAAGCAAATTAAAAAGGCAATCCCAGAAGTCAAATTAAATACAGTGAAGATACACAGAAAGACAATGAAACCAAGCTAACGCAACACATATAGAGACCATCAGATCATGCTCTGGCGTTTTGCAAATATTTGAGAAATAACTACTAGTATAGCGGCAATTACACCAATTGGATGTTCTATGCTAGTTTACATAGAGATCAGTCATTGGTTTAAGAACAGAAACTGACCAGTCATCCAATCCGTTCTTATCAGGATACAAACAAGACTACACAACTCAATCCATTCTTAACATTGCGTAGTAAATTCATAGAACAATGAATTGTTAGCAGAGTCCATTGTAAATTCATAGAACAATGAATTGTTAGCAGAGTCCATTCTGTAGCAAAGTGCCGTATCTAGAAAGTAACAGGAAAAAATAGCAAAATAACCCAACGTACCTATACTTTCCATTAGCAGATAATCTAGTATGTTTCCTCAAATGACCTGCAGATAAGGCATGCAAAATTACGAAAGAGAAAAGATCTTATGATTCAGCAGATGTTAATATGACAGGCACTCAGGTCTTTTTGTATATCAGACACTTCGTCACCATTTTCTTCCCAAACCATGGGTGAAGGAGCATTTCAAACCCGTGTTCTTTTAACAATCCGCTTGAAGGCCTTCAAAGACCTACATGGTCACCCTAATCAGATTTGGATATTTACATAATCCACCCTTATATATCATATTTCAGACTCAAATGCATAGCACTAACACCAGATCCCTTGCTCTCATAGTCTCAGGATATCAAACCTCAAACTCACATAAATTTTCATATTTGGCTATTGATAATCCGCAGGATTGGGGTGGGGGGGTTCTAACCCAAAGGCTACAGCCACACATTCATAAGGCATGCCAAGTGAATTGAGTACCTAAAGATAACCTTAATTCCTCCAAATCTAATGAACCACACCTACAGACATGGTTGTGCTCAACTTTAAAATCCACACTTTCTCTGGCTATAATCATCTCTCGAAGAATTTGTACCGAAAGGAGTAAGAAAGCCCTGAAGCATGATATGTATTATCAAAGAGACAAGTATCATTATCAAGGAAGCATTGTTATGCATTGCAAATAAGCAACATGTAAACACTGAGGAGAAACATTTAATAATCCACATTTAAGGTGTAATTTACTCGCAGACAGCTTGCCCACAATCATCCTGCCTAGGCAACCACCCCCTATCAAACCACATGCTAACTTGAGATGGTGCACATAAGAAATCAGAGGAATGAAGGTATGCCCAATCATCAAGATCTAATTGAATGCTTAAAAGATATGAGGATATGAAAATGTAAAAAATAAATGAGCAATAATTGATAAGAAAACTTGAAAATTACATTGGCACATAAAAAATCCATAACAAAACTTGAAAATTAAATCAGTGCATAAAAAATCCATAACACAGATAAAATTGTGCAATATAAATAGTATTGTTTAAATAAGACTTAAGTTTTTTTTTACTTTCCATGGCGTTAAGTGATAATAGATGGCCATGCAATTAAATCAGACGTATCATTAAAATATTTGCTTTTAAACCTACTCTCTTAAAAAATATAAATTAAACTACTCTTTTAAAAACTATAAAATTATCGATACTGATTGAGTCTGTTCACAAGGCTTCTTGACATACATAGAAACCATTCCCTTCTTATCAACCATCATTTGCCTTAAAAAGATGTTTAGGATATGCGAGTTAAACAATAGTCAAACTATGATCTCAGAAGATAAATAATTATGCTTGATGAAGTAACTATGAAGCCTCAACAATATTTCAAGACTAAAGAAGCCATGTAGAAAGGAATGGACCTAGAAGTTTCAGGTTCAAGGTTCTAATTTATTACTGCTAGCCTAGAATCTGAATATTTTCATACTGAAGAAAAACTAACACAAAAGATAGCAGCACATGTAGATGAGCACCAATTAAGATAGCAAACAAGATTTTTGCAAAATTATATTTCACAAGATAAAGTTCATATACACGCCCTTATGAGTTTGGTTGCAACTTCAACTGTACAGTAAAATGAAAGGGAGACATTCACTACAACTACCTTTTAGGAAAATTAGATAGAGCACCCCATGGAGTTGTAAGCTTAGAGGAGAAAAAGAAAGGGTCCAATCACCAAGAGCTGACCCAAGAATGAGACAAACACTAGTTTATTCTATAGTTAAATATATCAAAAGCTTGAAGAGAAAAGAAAATGGACATTCTAAATCAGAGACCAAATTTTGCTTAAAAGATAAACCAGAGGAAAGAGCAATATTCAAGCTAGTAAGGAAAAAGAAGCTCTTTTATTCCTTGTTACCAAATCTCTTTGCAATTATGGGCCGGACATCATCAGCATCAACCAGGGTCTCTAAGAAGGGTAGTAATGAAATTAGTGCACAATCTGATGGATCAGTAAACCAACTCTTAATAGGAATCCCATTATTTACTTGCAGCCTGAAAACCTGAAATCACCAAAGAGAACAGTTAAAAAATCAGAGTAGATTCAAATAAGAAGACTTTTCTTTGTTCCTGCAATTTTGACACCCAAAATCCTTTTTCTCAGGGAAGGGGAAGCTAGACAATGCTTCCCATGATACTGGCATTGATAAAAAAAAGGAATGACCTTATTTTCATCTCTTTTCACTTTTGATGTAATGATTTCTTCTGCCTTCTCCAGTCTAGTGCCCTGACCTAAGACAAGAACTTTGGTGTGTTCCACTTCTACAGTTTACATCCAGCACAGTCAGCTCAGAACATCCCCAAATCTAACTGTAGAAGATTAGACTCGCTATACATAGATTGACAACTAATGTGGTATCCGAACTAAAATGACCACACAACACTAACCCATTTAACTAGACAACAATCATAACCAAGGATGATAACTGCTCACAGCTCATACAGCAATAAAATTGGACAGATGAGGAAAGATGGGGGGGGGGGGCAGGGAGGGGGGGGAATAGCAAAGTGCAAAACCATCAAAGCAAAATGGGCAGGTAAATGTAAATACCTGTGGTGAATTATCAATTATGGCAACTTTAGCAAGATCAACACCTAAAACTGTCAAATCTTTTGTGTAACTTCCATCTGAAAAAATACATGATTCACGATAAAGCTGCCGAGATATAAGCTTTCTATCAGGATCCAGTATGTCCAAAAGCTGTGCTGCATAGATGCTCTGGCTAGCTGTGAAGATAACAACTTCAAACATCTCTGCAACTCTCTCCAAGAAAGTGTGGACATGAGGCCTCTGTTTTACGTACACTATGTGCTCTTTCATATTGAAAAACACAGTAAAGGTGAAGTCTGCATCATCACAGCGTTCCAATGTTGAGTGGACAAGTGTTTCTGAGAATAGAAAAGCCATCTGTGACTCAACCTTCGTATTGCACATGGGACATAATTCTTCAATTAAATTAATTAAAGAGAAAATGATGCTGAAAACACAATTATAACCAAAAAGTTTGAGGGAATTTCAAACCAACCAACCTATCACTATCTTCTCAGAGGTGGCCATTAAAATAGTGTTTAGACTTCAGATAAAGCAAAAACAAAAGTAAAAGAGTCGAAGGATCAAACTCAACAATATCACGTCCACAAATATTAGAAACACGGAGTATCGTATTCAGACCCACTGACCTATCCACTAACTTCTCTCAGTTGTTATGATTCAAGTAGTTTAGTCAATAGGCAGCATGATTAATAGAAAAGTTGAAGAATCAAACTCAAAAATATGAAAGGAGAAGGCATATTACATGGACTAGTAACAAGACATAAATAACATAAATTTCTTACCATCCAAATCAAGCACTAGGGTTACGGACTTTCTTCTGCAAGACTCCTTAGGGTGTATAGAGGGCAGAAAATTTGAAACCACATCAGATAATTCAGGTAAATTTTTTATAAAGAACTGAGGATCAAAGTCTTCTGCTTGGTCCGAGTCAATGTTTAGATCAGATTCCCGGTCACAAGATCTTATCTGATTAATTGCTAGGTATAAGCTACTATTATCTGAATCTGTCATGGCTTCTTCACATGATTTCATATCATCAGAGTCGCTCATTTTTGCAGTATCCTCAAGAAAAGGTAGTATCATGCACTCTTCAGCCACATCAAACAACATACTCGGCTCAGCGCACTTGTAATCAGGAAAAGGATTGGCATCGGTCAAATCATTAACAGTGCTCCCATCAAATGGTAAGCTAGCAATAATCATGTCAGAAATAAAGAAATCTGATATGTTGCAAGTTTGATAATCACATGAGCTTCTGTTATCATCACTGTCATCAATACCCAAACCTGGCACGTCAAGATTGCTGTTACTCCCTGCAAAAGAAATTAAACGAAAACTATTCAAACCAGATATTGTCATAGAAGAAATCAAAACAATGAGTAGCTCCAATGCAAAACACTTGGGAGTTTTCCATTAAAGTTTTATCTTTACCAATACACTAAATAATAATCAGTGTTGACTTTATGTTAGTTGCCATATACAAGCACATTAAAGTTAGATCCTAGCAAAGTTGGATACCAGAGCAAAAAATGAAATTGTTACGGATGTCCAATGTAATCCATGCTTCTACCAGCCAGCAAATGCTTTGAAGGTAAACATGTCCTCGAAGTACTTGCTTTCAAATAACCAACATTCTTCAAAATAAATTTTGCAATACCACATATAACAATAAATTGTCTCATTATGATAGCATAAACAAGAGACAAACAATAAAACATTCATTTGTATAGAATTGGCTATCATGCAGGCAACTAAACAGGAAAAATAGTACTGCAGGTATTGTAGGGATATGGCTTTCTTCCATTTCTTTAGTATTGAAAGTGCATTAATGACTAGTTTTTTATGCATTTAGATGGAGAAGTTTGAGCTATACCTGCATCATCATAAATATTTGCCACACTGTGGACTTCAATGAGCTCCAGAACAGGAGAAAAAATTGTCTCGAAGTTTGATGCAAAGTTATATATAGATTCCTGCATCAAATGAACTATCATAAGAAACCATCCAAAAAAATGATTAAAAACACAGTGATGATGCTACTGAAAGCATTTCAAGAAATGGATCGAGGAAAATATGAGTACATTGAAATCTATCCAAAAGAAGTTCAATTTTAAGCATCTTTAACTTCCTAGGCAAAGGGAAGTATTAGGTAGTGAAGAGTCTACTTAATCACTAAAGACTACCAATTTCCATGGGCTTCCTCATTCTATGAGCCTGTGAAGAAAAAGGAAAAACCTTTGCACCTAATGCAGTTTCAGGCATCACTTGATGGCTTAAAAGGAAGTATTCGGAGTTGTAAACATGTGTTACTAAGATATGACAAGTGCAGCCAAGAATTACTACATTGCATGAGTTTATTATGTAATGTATTGTTGGAAAAGATGTCTAAATCAGTTCTTTTATTCTATAGTGCAGTGAGGGTAAATTCTCCTTGACCTGAAAAGAGAACATCCAATAAGTCACCAGAGATGGGATGCAACCCTGACAAGAGTACAAAAAAGCAGAAGAAATATATAGGGAAGAATAAACAACAGGTGGAAAAAGCTTGATTAAAATGTACAAACACCGGATATTAAAAGAAAGATAATTGAGTTAAATCATCAGTGAACTTCCCATTAAAACAGTACCATTGAATAATAGTTGAACAAAACAAAATGTAAAGTATAACATATATAACAGAAAGAATATTTGAATTGCATAATCAAGAAAGAAATATCAACTAGTCTGAAAACAAATCATAGAAGTTTATGATTTAGTCAGATACAGCAATTAAAAAATACTTGGAAATGCAACCAAAACCAAATTCTGATGGAAGATTATAAACTACTATATCTGTACAAAATACAAATCAAAAGGGAGAAGAAAGATGCTAGGGATGGCAACAACTGTAACAAAACCATACGTACAGATTTCAAAAAAAAAAAATAATGAATATAATCTACTACCATACTTAATATTAAAAATTTGAATGTACTCAACTAATGATAAATGTTATAAACAGCACTTGTAAAATTAGCATGACATTGTCTAAATGCTTCAAATTCATAATATCATTATTGTAAAAAGTTAAAGTTTTAGACAAACTCTAGCAATGATAATGATTATAAATGCCAGGTGTAAATGAACATAATTACGCATGCAGCACATGCTTGAAATCCATGCCAAAGTTTCCGAAAAGTAAATCAACAAAGAAAGGTTCTGTTTAGACCATAACAAATGCATTGCAAGCACATCCAGTAATTGATGTCCAGGTATTGAAAAATGACAAGCAGAACATTAGAGTCTCCACATACAAAACTTACCATATCCCCAGCTGTGCCAGAATCTGCAGAGGTTGGTGGGTGCTTCAGAAACTGAGAATTTCCATCACGTGGTAAGTCTTGCTGGTCAACGGCTTCATCATTTTTAATGTCCTCCCCCTGGGTGTATATTTCCATACTCGAAGCAACTAGAAAGAACCATTAGAAGTTTAGTATATAAACAAAAATCTCTTCTAAATCAAATGTGCAGTATTGATTGCAATTCTAAAAATCTGGCAATCAAACTGCTTGTAATGTATCCAAAATGGAGTCGTGATAAGAGTATAAGGTCCAGAACTATTGCATGTGCATTTTTTTGGGTACACAATGGAAGACGAAATATACAAATACTAAAAGAAAAGTATAACTTCTTCAATGAACAACATTCAAAATATTTTACAGTTCTTCAAAATTAAAGTTGCTTCAATGAGGAAAATGGTTAGGGCACAAGGCCAAAATTGCGAATTTTCCAAACAAAGAAACAAATCACCAAGCAATCTTCAACAGCTGTCTACGAGGGTAGTTAATATAAGCATAATTCAAATGGAGTTAGTTGCTTACCATAGCCATCCTGACATTTCTGAACGCACTTGTCAGATTCTGCTGCTTGTCGAGAAACTGAGACTTGGGAGCATGATTTTTTGGATATTATATTAGACTTCTGACACACACCGAGACATTTTTTTTCTCTTAGAGAGCTCATGTTTAGGTTGGTCTTCATTTTTAATGATGGCATTTGATCTGTTTTTTTTATATGTACCACAATCTCGACTTGGAAACATCAGTGGGGAAATAAAACCCCTTTAGGTGATCAAAGCAACCGGCCGAGACTGTTGTGAAAGAAATGAGAAGGATATTAGAATAGACAGAGATGTGGAGAAGCTATAAGAAAAGGACAGAGATTAGCATAAAAAAGTAATAAAGCAACATAACTTTGTTGTTTTATGAGAGTGTGGGGTTAAGTGTGATAACACAATAAAGGAAGACAGGAAAATTTTCAAAAGCTAACTGAAACTGCCGCCACTGACTAGCTGTACAAGGAACAACTAGCATCATCCAAGCACAATAAAAGTAACTTGTAGATCAGTATCTCGCAAGATTGCAGAATAAGAGCTAACAATATTAAAAAGAAACGTGTTCATCAATGCTAAATGTAATCCCCTCTCAATTATGTTGATTTAAGGTTGCAAATTCCTTTTTTTTTTAATAAAAACCATTTATGAAAAATTGTGGGAAAATCTAGGTTAGAAGATTAACATGCCAGTCCTGTAACAAGGACAGGTCAAACAAGTCATAAGGGAACAAGACAGTTTTCTCAGAGGCTAACACATCAAAAGGTGATAAGCAAATCAAAGACTGGAAAAACACGAACTACTTAACTTTGCTATTGAGATTAAGAACACGAAACGAAAATAAAACTAGAAAAAAAAAAGGGTTGACCGTCTTTCATGAACTTGCAAGAAGGGTAAAGAGAAATTACACGACACCCTATAAATTTAACTCAGCAAGGAAAAAAAAAAACCAACGACAACAACAAGAAGCCATGCTCACAAAAATTCTTTCAAGATGAACTACATCACGGATGAGTTTTTTTCTGTGATATTTACTTGTATATCCCAGATCACAATTCGAGAGAAAGCTTTACCTTCTTCCGGTGTAACTTTTAAGAATGCGTTTAAGCCAAAGAAGTCTCAAATAACAAGAGAAAGATAGTCCAACCACATCATAGAAGACCATAAAACTAGAATAAAAACCACCATAACTCTCAAGTAAACACCAAGAAAAGCAAAGTCAACTCAAGTCTTTCCAATCAAAACCCATAAAAACACAAAGACACGTCATAATTGCACACAAAAACAACACAAACAAAACCAAGAAAACCCTAAGAACAACCAGCTCATATGACAGTTCTATACTTTAACCATAAAACCAAAAAAAAAAAATGAAACAGGAGAGAGAGAAATCAACAGCAAGAGAAACAGTTCATGAAGAATAAAATTCACCTCATACAAGTAAAAAAAAATAGAAAAGAAACCAAATTTGGAAACATACAAAGGGAAAAACATACCTGTATGTCTGTGCGGAAAGAAGCTAAAAACTTAGAGAGACTTTCTCTCTTTAAAGCCTAGAGCTTCATTCTCTCTCTCCCTACCAAAATAATAAAAGCAAAGGAAAAGACTTTCTTTTATATTTCTCTCCGAATAAATTATGCTTTAGTCTCTAGAGTTTGATCAGATCTATAATTTAGTACTTATTATTCATGAAAATACAAATTAATCCCTTGACTCTTGCGTACTTGGGTTTCCTCAAAACTCTCACGGTGTTTATTTTTATTTATAAACTAGAGTGATTTAAATCATTAATTTTGGATTATGAAATATCCAGAATCCATTTTAACTTATTAGAAAGTATATTTTAAAAAGAAAGTAAAGGACTAAATTGAATTTCTTAAAACTATTGTCTACTAAGTTGTGATACTTTGAAACATACAGGGACTGAATTATAATGTGCCATGCTCCCCTCCTAAACTTCCACAAACTGTCAAGACAGAAGCTATGTTGGCTTTATACGAGGGTAGTGAACGGTCGAGATTGAATTTGTTTGGGACCGGTGGAGACAGAAGCTATGTTGGCTTTTTACCACGTGGATGAGGCTCCTGACGCGTTAACACGTGTAACTTAGTGGAAACAGAAGCAGCGGAGGAATTAAGGATGTTGCATTACAGTCTCTTCCCTGAGCGCGTGAGCAATAAAATCATTCGTTGTTGTGGACTTTGTAATGGCTTCTTTTCAAGCAACAAAATAAAAAATTCTAAGGTTTGGTATTTTAATTTGAGGGACCCTTGGTGTACAAAGCATTCACATTATTAAAATTGAAATTAAAAAAAAAAAGACAAAAAACAAAAGGGTAGTGAATTTTATGTGCCCCTCAACCGAAGATTGGCAGGGAGACCTCGGATTTCTATGATCCACTATCAAAATTAAGTTGGATTTAAGGAAAAAAAACATAAAAATTAATTATAGTTTATTGACTTATTTTTTTAAATAAGTCATCATGTTTTATAAAAAATTAAGAGTGAATTCGAGATAACCAGGTTAAAATCTATTATTGATTTTAAATTGGATCAGGTTTAAAAACTATAAATAATATTATTTATTAAAATAGTTTTTTTTAACCTATTCATTATTAGATTTATTAAAGATAATGCTTCATATCTTTTTATAGTTTACTTTTTATAAAGTTATCTTAATTTTATTATCTGAACCGCGGATTTGACAAATTAACTCATTTAACTCGAGTTTTTTTTATTGTTTATATTAATTTTTGTTTTTTAATTTTATCTTTTAAATATATGATTGATTGAAAATTAGACTTTATAATTTATTTTGATTTATTTTTTATTAGGTTATCTTCATCTCACGTTTCGGGTCACGAATTTAACCAGTTAATTCAAGTTGACTTGAATTATTTTTTATTTTTTAATTAATTTGTTTTGTTATTTAAGTCTCATGAATTAGATTATAATCTCAAGTTAACTTGAGTTATTTTCCTTCTTTTTCTTGTTGATTTTTTTTTAATTTCATCATTCATTATTGGGTTGATTAAAAATTAAGTTTCATAATTTATTTTAATTTTTTTATGAGGTTATTCTTATCTCATGACTTGAATTATGATTTTGACGAGTAAACTCAAAGATGACTCAAGTCTTTTTTATATCCTTTTTTCATTATTTTTTTTATTTTATGTTTGATCAACACTGTGTTGACTAGACATATGGATTAAAAGGTCAATCCAAATTGATGTAATATGATGTCGTTTTAATATTTATATAAAAAAATTATCTTAAATATTTTTCCAAGCCAAACTATATTTTTATATATCATATGAGTTGTTTTTGGATTTGTCAAGGCGATCGAATCATATCAGGTCGATCTCCACACGGTTTAAATTTGTTTTTTACGAGAAAAAAAATTAATAGCATTTATATATTTATTTTTTATGTTAAAAAAATTCATTTGTCTCTTATTTTATAGCTAAACTAGTTGTTTTAATCGACTATTTAAAAGAATTTGTAATCACATTCATGCTATTTAAAATAAAATCATGAATATTTTATTATTTTATTATTATTCAAGTTACATGTGAGACGAATATTCATTTGCAAGTTATTTCATGTTGTTAGTTGCTTTCCAATTACATCAATGAATTTTCACAGTTTTGAGAATTAATTTTATTATAGCAGAAACAAGAAATAATAAAAATAAAAAACATACAGTTAAAGAAATAATGAAAAAAAAATGAACTTCATTCTCTTAATGCATGGCCACTCAAAATTCTTTCTAGAGGCCTTGCAAAAAATCTGTTGTTCCTAAAACAAACTAGGAATGAACTTGAAAAGCATTTATATTATCAATGGATTTAAATTTGTTTATTTTTATATTTTAAAAATATTTTAAAAAAATAAAATTTTTTATTTTTTTATTTACTTCAAATTAATATATTTTTAGTGTTTTCAAATTATTTTAATATACTAATATCAAAAATAATTTTTAAAAAATAAAAAAATATTATTAACATATATTTTAATACAAAAAATTATTTAAAAAACAATTACAATTATACTCATAAACCCAAAAGTGAAGTGGTTCACTTTGCTGCATGATGGTATTAACCCTTGGAGGCTTTCTTTGCCAAGAACTTGACCATTCATAGTCCTTGCCCCTTCTTACTATTTATATGATTGATAATACTTTATATACTGACTAGGTCAATAGAAAATTTCCAAAATATTATAAAAATGCTTTTATAATTGATTTAATATATAAAAGGCTATTATAAATGAGATATTAAAAATTTATAACTTTTCTATCATATTTTTTATTAAACACTACAAAATGCATCAATGGCTTAATCTTTTATTGAATGGTGTTGCTATGATCGTGACAAGAAATAGAAAAGATGGTTTCATAAATAGATTGCATGAGAAAAAATAAAAATAAAAAAATAGATATTTTATTTTCAATTAATATTCACGAGCATATTTTTTCTTGTAGATTTGGCATATTAGGTTCATATATTAAATTTCATAAAGTAATTGCTCATATCACATAAAAAATATAATCTTCATTGAAAACTATAGAAAAATTAGATAATATTTTAATTATTTTATTCATTAGTGATTTTTACTCAAAATAAAAAATAAAAAGATTAAACAATAATATGAAAAGAGGCCATTAAGACCAAAATAACTCTACTTCTCTTTTTTCTCTATACAATGACTTATTTTGTCCTCCATAGGACATTGAGACCAAAATGAAAAGAGTTTTAAGCTCTAAAAATAAGATCCTCGAGTAATAAGGACTAAATATGCAAAATCTAAAATTGCAGTGACCAAAATATAGTTTTTCACTCTTCTTGAATAGTGAAAATGAAATGTATGTTTTTATTAAAAAAGAAATTTGGTCCTTGTTCTTACTATTTTTTCCAGTAGATCTCTAGCATGTGATAAAATACAAATAAGAGTAAATTATGACATAAATTGATGCCAACATCAAGTATAATGATAAAATAGTAATAAAATAAAATAAAATAAAAATGAATACCAGAATAAAGAAATATTGTTGAATGAACAATGTCATTAGCAATGTTTAATGACATAACCTTTAATAAAAATGGGTTCTGTTGTATGTTTTTTATTTATTTAATTTTAATAGTGATTATATTATTGCAAGACACTTTTCAAAATCTATTTTCATTATGAAAATTAAAATAAATGTTCATAATAAATATAATGGTTAAAATATTATAGCAAAATGTATTTTTTAGTGAAAATTATCTTCTTCCATTCATGTATTTTTTTCTTTTTAACAAGAACAAGCTTTTTATTTTGTTAGCAGCATGGTTTATTGAATAAAAATTAATGGAAACTTAAAAAATTCAGAAAAGTTGTGATGAGTTGAATCAAACAAGAAGTGTGTGTGTAACCCCCTTTCCTTATTATACATTTTTTCTTTTTTCTGTTTCAACAAAAATACTTTTTCAATAAAAATAAGTTTTTTTTTTTACTAAATGTGTTATTTATTAAACGAAAAAACATTATGATTATTAAATCAAGTTTGAGTAAAAAAATTAAGAATCGATTTTTTTAGAATCGATTTTTTTATAAACTTATATTAATACATTTGAGGCTTTTATATAAAAAAATTGCAATGATAAAATTCATATTCTATTCGTACTTAGTATCGATGAGCAAGTTTTTTTTTATAAAAAATCTACAATTTAATAAATAAATAAATATAAAATAATTATTAATATTATCATTAAAAAATCTAATTTTCTTTAAAATTATGACATAATTAAATAGTTTTTTAGATATCACTTTAATAAATTTATTTAAAGTGAATTTTATTATAAACTTTTAAAAAACATAGGTTAAAGGTGAAGCTTATAAAAAGCCAAGTACGTGGGCATGGATAAATGGTCTAACACACTTATAAAAACCCATATGTGCTTGGATTCGAAAGGTCAAACTCATACATTTGGCTTTCTTTTTTTGTTTTTTTTAATGGACACGCAAAATACCTTTCATCCTAATATTTTTTAGTATATCCAATGATAGAGCAGATTATAACCACCTTTGATGGTTAAAATTTTTCTTTCAAAGAACTTTAAAAAACTTATTTTTAACCACTAAAAAAGCTAAAAATCAAATTGAATTAAAAACTTCTAAAACTCTAATCTTCTATTTTTTTGACTTTCTTGGAAAACAAGATCACCTTAATCTTATTTTCATGACAAACTTATTAGCATTAATCTTTTTTTGTAATCGAAATGTAGACGATCAAGATCTTTCTCTTCTTTTCCTTTAGTAACTTTCCCTCTCATCTCCCAAAACTGAAAGCTTAAAACAATATAAAAATGAAGTGTGAGGATTAAAACAATAAAACATAAAATTATAACAACCAAATATTACAAAACTAAAAACTTGTGAGTAAAATGATTTTTTATAATGTTTCTTGATGTTGTTTGCTACAAATACAAGATAAGGAAAAAAAAACCACTTACACCCTACAAGAAAGGGTTCACTTGTCACATAACATTCTCTAAAAAGAAAGCAAAAGATAAATTAAGAAAATCATCATTCATTTGCTATAAAGCTTTGTTCTCACTAACTTC